GGATTTCAACAAAATTGATATAGTGACGGAATTTATTGTTTCACCCTTCATGGAAATTGATATCCAACAGTTTACAACTTCTGTTACGCAGAATCTTAGCGAAGACATCGCTGCGACAGAAATTAAAGTAAATTAAATGTATCTGGCCTTCAGTAAGTAAAGATAAATATTTAGTTTTATGTCGTGTTGCCTTGAAAGTAAAAGCGTTATTTAGTTCAACATATTTTGAAGTTTATGAAAAATAAATATCGTAATCGACTTAGAGATGAACATTTGGATAAATTGTATTGGAATGGCGGTATCAAATTATACTCCAAACATTAAAAAATTTGTCAGTGAGTCTGAGTGTCAAAAATTTTGATTACTTTCCAAAAACCTACGATTGGTAGGAATGGATGTATGTATAGTATGTTTTAGTTTATTTAAGTTTATTAAGTAAAATAACCACATGTATGTCCAGTACAACTGTGTATAATTTCATTTAAGTTAGCTTACATTGCTTGCGACTAGGTAGCTCACTGTTTATTCCAAAATTATCAAAGTAGCTAGACTCACTGAAAAGGTTGGTGACCACGGCTCTACAGCATCTTACATCAATATTCTCCTCTTGGAATGACCTACCCGACTATGTATTAATTTATAGGGTTCTTTTTCAAATTGGCATATGTACTGACACTGAGCTAATAGTTTATTGTATATTCAGATCGATCATCCTGGAAGAAGCAGATTGATATATCATACTATGACGTTTTGATGATTAGATGTTACAAACGATTCAGTTTACAAGTGCTCTTAGATTGTAGTATTCATGTATCAATTTCATCATTCTGAATTCTTAATATCTTGATCCGCTCAAAAAATAATAGAGGAAGGACCTTTTTACAAATCTCACTTGCCACACATAAAATTCGTTGTATTGCCTGTTGGTCTGCAGGCAGCTTAAGGACAAAGGTCAATGCGAACCCTATCAGCTTATGAGGTGTATACCAGCTTGTGGTTAGCGCACGTATAACGAATAGCACACGGTATAAATGGCAAAACGGCATACACAATTTATTATTGCTCTGTGGTTTAATCAGCGACAGTATGAACAGTGCATTTGTTACTAACTCTGCCGTTGACAGGACGGATACTTCGTTAAAAATGAGTAACAAGATCTTAGTAACTCTACGTCAGTATAAGTTGATCAAAAAAAATGTTTCACATGAGTCTCGTATTCTCTATTTCTCAATAGCGCTGTTTTTGTCATACATGGAAGGTAAAAGGACCCGAGAATATTAGCTTAATACTTTTAACTACTGTTCATTATGTTATTTGTATAATAGTATATACCAGATGGCCGAGGATTCCATCAGATTTCTGAGCCGTACTAGGCTGGCAGCCACTTAAGAGCGATGTTTGCGCCCCTAAGAGGACCATAGTGGCAGGCACTGAAAACCAACAAGTAAACAGAGTGAAACTCCTTTGACTTTCTGCTCTTTGCATGCATCTTAGGATTATGGGCTAAGTGATAACATATCTTTATAGAAGTTATATTTCGTCTAATCTCAGTGTCACTGAGTAAATTCTGATGAAAAACGGGGAGTGATCAGTTTAAGCACAATAACAGTAAATATGACTATAAAGTGAAAATGGTGGCAGACAGCTGCGATACATCGTAATAAATAGCTTTCTGAGTTCTCCAAAGTTAATCATTCCTTCCAAATAGATCACAGTAGAGATCAATTCTGTTTCGTTTTTCCAATCTTCCGGTGAAGGCCTGGCATCGACAAACTTAGATACAAAGCCGAAGGTCCCATGTAGCGCATAGGACTCTACATTCATGATTGTCGGCGACCAATTATAATTTAATCACAAATCCTTTCCGTTCTCTTTGCAGTTCTCCGAGAAGAACAATCACAGCCTGAGCATCCTGACATTCGTGCCGGTGATCGACGACGACGGCAAATACTTGACTTGCCGCGCGGAGAATCCGTCCATCCCCGATAGCGCCCTGGAGGACAAGTGGAGATTAAACGTCCATTGTAAGTTACATACACCCAACCCTCCCATCGACTTAGCGAAATGGGATTGCACTTTTTGCTCTACTTCTGTCGTTCAAACATTGAGATATTGCTTTCTACCGCTGCACCATGTCGGTTCGATTTCAGCCGATCTGTTTATGGACTACCTGTTGGTACACTTAAGCCGGCTTTACATTACGCACTAGTTGCACGATAATAGGGTTCTATGACTGAAGCTTAGTTTTTCACTGCGAAACTAGTTTCCAGAAATCGAGTAGACGTTTTTTGCTCTACTTCTGTCATTCAAACATTGAGATACTGCGTTCCTCCGGTGGAACAACGTCGGCTTGATTGCAGCAATGTGTTTATAGACTAGCTTAGCGTAGTTTCACGATATCAGTGTTCCGCGACTATCAAGCCCTATTCTATTCTGTGCAACCAATTTCCAAAGAATCCATCCATCTCCGAAAGCGCTCTGGAGGATAAGTATAAAACATCAGTAAATGTTACGTAATGTCTTACACTTTGAAGAAAAACCATCTGTTACTTGATTATACCCTGCCAGGTACCTCTATTCAGAGGACTTCAACTTTTTGTGACTTAGGCGTGACATTTGACTCCCAACTAACATTTGTCAAACCCAATGATAGCAAAATTACCGAGGCAAACCGTATGTACGGCTTTATTGTAAGAAACTGCCGTGACTTCACTCAGAGTACCACCTTGAAGTTGCTGTATTATGCATATGTTAGGTCGTTGAGTATGCGCATCATATTATTCATATAAGTAGGCTTGAATATGTTCAAAGACGTTTCTTAAAATATTTGTCACTGAAAGTGGATGGCGTTTACCCGCCCATAGGTATACCTCATGATTCCTTACTTGAAAAACATCTAATGAGCAGTCTTGAAGCAAGAAGCACTTCCCAGTCAGTGATTTTTGTGTTTAAATTGATCAATAATGCTAGTGATGATTTAGCTTTCTTGGGTCAGTTATCATTTAACGTACCTAGGCTGACATCCCGACACAACGTTACGTTTTATCTACCTGCGGCACTGACAAATTATTTACATTATTCCCCATTGCATGTGATGTGTAGGAATTAAAATTCTGTAAGTAACCGGATTCATATATTTAACTGCAAAATTGCAGACATAAAAAATACCATTAAATAACCAGCATGTTTTTTTTTAGAGGTCCTAGGGGGACCGGGAGGTGGAATCCATTTTACGGACCCCATACGCCTTGGTTCCAGCGCGCATGGGAGTGTGGGACTCCAGCTACATTCTAGTAGACTAACTACCCACTAAACCACCTCCTCTGGCTCGCGACTACATCCGGTAGCACCACTTGTTGCGGCATGTCTTCAGATGCTAGTGCAAGATGTCGTCCCTGCGCTTTGCGTTCATCACATTACGAACGAACCTCTGTATTGTGTTCCAGTTCTCCTTACTTTTCATCATGAGTATGGTGATGCTTCTGCTATTGACCTCCGCACCGATAACTGACTCGGTATTGCTCCTCCATGCGGCCCATCTTTGACACACAAAGATTGTGTGCTCCGGGGAGTCCTCCTCTCCGCAATAACCGCAGATGCTGCCCTCCGTGATTCCCATTCTTTTGGTGTAATCCCCAAAGTATCCATGGCCCGATAGAAGCTGGGTCAAGTAGAAGTCTAGCCTTCGATGTTTACAGCTAACCCACTGTCTTACGTCCGGGATCAGAGTCTTGCTCCACATTGCCGTCTCTGAGTGGTCGCTCCACACACTTACTTAATAAGTAAATGCTTTTCTTCACTACGCCCATAGTTTGTTTATCATTTTGTTGTTGAAAATAGCTATTGGAGCGTTTTTTTGTGGCACAAAAGTTATTTCTTGAAGAAAGATAAGGATATATCTCGTACTTATTTTAAATAGGAATTTAGTACATAGTTTGCGATTGAATTGACCAAACTTTGTTGCTAAAGAACTTTTACATTACATAAATTGACCATGGTATATTCCACAGCAGAAAGAGTTCAAATTATCGAAATATTTTTCGGAAATAATCAGTGCGCTAATAGAACAGCAGAAATATTTAATGAGCGACATGAGAACAGTAACGTGCATTGAAAATATGTTCTAGAACTTGTAGCTAAATTTCTGGAAACTGGGTCAGTCGCCAATAAAAAACGCAACATTGAAAATCCCATAAGAAACGAAGCAATAGAAGTGGGGGTTTTAGGGCAAGTTTATGTAGATTCTACGTTAACACGTTCGCTGCGACCTGCCTCGCGCGGCGCGCATGGTAGCGGCTAAACGATTTTAGGCGCTGCACAAGCGAAGCGCGGATTCGCGTCGTAAGCCTATTGGATGTGCGTTGTGTAATTGAAAACTATTTCATATATACATTTCCTTCTTCTATCTCGTTTTTTTTCGTGCAGTAACACGAAACATGTCTTGAAACCCTATTAAAGATTTTTCTGTGGGCTGGAAAAATCATCACTCGTTTCAGACATATTTCCATCAGACTGCTCACTTCCATCTGAACTGGGAACATAATTGTCTGAGTCACTTGGATTCTCGATTTCACTCCCCGAATTGGCAAGAATATCATACAGTTCTTTTTCTGTAAGCCCTTTATTACGGTTACAATACGTTTTCACTCGTTTTGGACGTGAACAACCTGCTTCCACATCATCCGCCATTGCGCAATGTAAAAATAAACGAAACTTGATCCTACGCGTAAAATAGTCCAAAAAGATGTTCAATATGTAGGTGACCAAACAGAAAGCGAGTGCGGTACAAACTGACAACACCACAGTCTTGTATAGTAAGTTTATATCAGCCAGAAGCGCGGATCCGCGCCCGCCGCCTTTCGTTAAACATCGGTCGGACGCGGATCAGCGTCTTTCGCAGTGAACGTGTTAAGTACCCGCAAATTGGAGACTGTGTGTGGTGTTAGACGACGTACTGTCCAACGGATTCTAAAAGCCCATAGTTTTCAACCATATAAAATTCACCTGGTACAAGAACTTAATGAAGACGGTTTTGATCGGCGATTACAATTTTGTGAAGATATGAGTGAACGAATCATAAACGATGAACATTTGCTATTCAACACTTGCTTTTCCGACGAATGTTGCTTTTTCTTAAATGGCGTAGTAAATCGTCATAACTGCCGATATTGGTCCGATTCTAATCCCAGAATTTATCATGAGATTCATATACAGCTGCCACAAAAATTAAATGTTTGGACTGGTATTTTTGGCGATCATTTAGTTGGTCCTTTTTTCCTACCTGGAAATTTGACCGGTGAAATGTATTTGGAGTTACTGGAAGACGCCATAGATCCTGTATTAACAGCCGTAATTGAAAATCAGAATGATCGGCGGTACATTGCGAATAGGTTGATGTTCCAACAGGATGGTGTCCCACCACATTACGCATTACGTGTTCGACAATATTTAGATCAGACGTTTCCAGATCGATGAATTGGTAGAAGAGGTGCCATTGAATGGTCCCCAAGATCGCCAGATTTATCAACTTTGGATTTCTTTATGTGGGGTCATTTAAAAAGCAAAATGTATGGAACTCAGGCAACATCATTAGAAGACCTGCGACAAAGAATTGTGAATAAGTGCCTTCAAATTACTCCTCAAATATTGCAAAATGTGCGGCAACGTTTTGAGCAAAATCTTTATTATTGCATGGAGAATCATGGTCAAACTTGTGTACCCCCTCGAAAACAAAATCGACGGGTCTGAGCGTTTTTCCAAAAAAAAAACTGAGCTGCCAGTAAATGCGTCTGTTTCGTTTTCGATGCGCCACCCTGTATACTGCTTTTCATCTCACCGATTCAATTGTAATTTACACAAATTGATCGCACTGTTAGGGCTCAGCATCAGCCGGTGTTGCATGGAACTCTGCCAGTGTCCGCAGATATTCTTCGCAACATGGTGCAGTTTGTGTGAATCAATAATAAAAAAAACATGTTTGCCCAAAAAGAGGCGACGCAGTTTTAATGACTATGCATTCATGAATTAGCCTTGAAATAAATTTGAATTGGTGAAAGTATTTACAATGAACAGTAAAATATTGCATTTTCAATGTAAGCAGTATTAAAATCACCAGGCAAATACAACATTCAGTGAATCCCAAGAATTTCCGTGTCTTTGTTGCGGACAAAAAACGAGAGCATACATTTTTTTAATGGAATATCCTGTTCTCATTATTTTATTCTTAGCTCATTCTAGTTAAAAACTAAACACATACCATAACTCAGAGCGGTCATCCTTAGAGCTTTTCTTATTCTTTGCTCATTCCAGTTAAAAACTATACACATACCATAACCACTATTTGTGCAAAATGCTTTAGTTTTACTCATGAACAATGTTTCTTTAATCTCTCGTTTAAATATTCGTATTGGCTCAGAATAAGACCTTACAGTCTATACTTTCTTACCAAACAGTAGCGGGTTAGCACGGGTAGCAAATGCTACGAGCACCGCGAATCAACACTTTGTGACCGTAAAAAAGTATCTCGCGCGGGGGAGAGAACACTGATTCAGCCGCCACCACTGCTACAGGCCCCGTATTGACTTAATCCAGCATTGTTACCAAAATAGCATTATTTCAAACAAATGATCCTGCATATGTAAAATATAAAGCACTAAAAAGAATTAATTTCAACGGACACTGAGGATGTTTCTACATTCACATATCAGACAAAACATGCCTCTGAAACCTATAAAAAAGTTTTATCGCAATGCTTTACATAACGGCACGGCTATTACATATCTTGAAAAGTTACATTACGCCATTTTTTTGACATTATATTGTTGTTTGTGACATTATGTAGGTTTTTCTACAATATGTTAACATAGAACTAGCTGATAGACACGTTGTGAATGGGTTTTGTAGTTGTACGTGTTTCCTGGACGTCATGAGGCTTCATTTATCAATGTTTGCCTGTGATGTGATGTAAAATCTGCTTCAGAGATGGCATTACTGGAGGTATAGTATAGTATAGTAAGAATTTGTGTGCTAATAATATGTGTTAATGACAATTCCATCGAATTCTTGTCTCAAATACACTTACTTGAGATTCAAAGCTAGGAATTAGTTGCACATCCACTTTTTCTTATCCATTCTGGAAATTACATATGCAAATTTGCTGATTTTTAAAAATAAGAAAGATAAGAAATAATTATATTCACTGTACACTGTAGAATTACAAGTCATTACATGCTAATTACACACAACACGGGTGCGGTGGTGATTTCCCGTATTTCTCCTGGAAAACACAAAAAACGTTTAAAATCGTAATTTGTTACTTCGAGCGTAACCTTTCTTCAGGAAGGACAATATATAAATAACCCGTCGGGCACAGCTAATGGATATACTTCATGGCAGCATATGCAGTAATTTTCTCACACAGCAAATATCACTGATTTAATACACAGGCAGACCAATAAACACAGTCATGTGATCTTACTGTATTCAACCAACTTGCTCCTCAGGGATGAAAACTATCGACCACTCGGCTTCACAAAACATATGCAACCAATAATGCGTGTAGTTGAGCTATTTCTCCATATATAAACGCTCACAGCGATCCTAGTGAGCAAACGTGGAATGGCTGATTGCACCCTAAAGCCTTGTCCAGGAAGGGCGAATTCGCCGCGAAACGTTTAGCGCGAAATCATTCGCGCGTTAGTGAGATACTTGACATCAATACGTCGCGTCCACAAGCATCGCGCGAATTCAAAATACGCGCGTAAATCGCGTGCACTACGCCAGACTCTCGACTCGCGCGAGTCGAGTTACTAGGGAACGCCTTGTTGCGTCCAGTTAACGCACGAACTCTAGAGCGAGTGCACGTATCGAGGGAAATGGAGCGCCAAAATTTTGATACGGAATTGTTTATAGTATTTTCTGATAAAGATGACTCCGAGGAAAATTTATTGATTAGTAACAAACAAAGAAAATTAGATCATTTTTTCTTGCCACGGCAGTCGACCTTCCTTCATGAAATAATCAGCGAATATATCCCTCGTGTTTCGAGACCTTACACCAGGTCGAATTGTAGTCGTACTCAGACCGTCTAGAGCTGTTTCGAACAATGTGTCTTCGTATCTGTATCCATCTCTTAACCTGACGTAATTGTGAAGAACATAACAAGCTTTAATTATGTTTTCCGCAAATTCAATATGTACATTGAGTGGTTTGTGAAATATTCTCCATTTGTTTACCAGGATTCCAAAACAACACTCAATATAACGTCTTGTTCTAGAGAGGCGGTAATTAAATATTCGTTTTTCTTTGGTTAAATTCTTGCCGCAATATGGTCGCATAATATGTTCTGATAAGCTAAATGCCTCATCTCCAACTATAACATGAGGTAAACGTGTTGTACGAATTTCTGAGACTGGTTTTGGTCCCGGAATGTTCAGAGATTGTTCCGTGAGTTTTTTGAAGAATGTGGAGTTTTTAAAAATCGTTGAATCATTGCTCTTCCCACATGTTCCAACATCTATAGAGATAAAACAATAATTTGCATCACATACGGCAAGCAGCACAGTCGAAAAAAAATGTTTATAATTGTAGAACATAGAGCCGGAATCTAAAGGTTTTATAATTCTAATATGTTTCCCATCAACTGCTCCAATGCAATTAGGAAAATGTGTATATTTTTCGAATCCTCTTGCAATTTCCATCCACTCTTCTGTCGAAGGTTCTTTCATTACTATATCTTTTAACTTATTCCAAATAACATACACAGTTTTTTGAACGATGTCAATTACAGTTGATTTTCCTAATCTATAGGCATAATGTAAGTCAGCAAAATAACAGCCAGTTGCTAAGTACCTGAACAAAATTGAAAATTATTGTGAAATTGTTAATTTCAGGTAATACTCTTCAAAAAAAGTGGAAAGGCCTTCGCGACACATTTGTTCGTGAAATGAAAAAAACAAAGAATGCACCATCAGGCTCTGGAGCTTCGAAGATTCAATATATATATTTTCAACGTCTTATGTTTCTCGAAAGGTCAGTACGTAATAAAAAACAGAAAGCAATATTCAAGACACCTCAGAAAACTCAGAGACAGGTAACGAAGAGTCTACAGCAGATGCACGGGAAGACATAATGAGGCCGCCGAATCAAAATATTAAAAGAAAGAAAATGACTGCCGCTTATGCTGAATTCCTGAACATAATTAACAAAAATATAAGCTCTAGGAATCAACAACAGCCACTGCTTTCCAGCGTAATGGAAGGTGATGATGACAAACTGTACTGCTACTTTACACAAAGAATTACTTAAGGTACCTGAGGCCAATCGTATAACAGTAAAAATTGAATTAATGAAAATTTTGCAAGCGGCTCAACAATCTTCGCAATCAACTGTGTATTCAAACAATTCGTATTCGTACTTTTCTAACAGTTCGGCTTCATCTTCAACTTCAATTCCGGTTCGATACCATGCACAACCTACAAGACCAAATGAATTTACTTTTCAAGAATACGACCCAGAAACGCCACCCGTAACAACTTGGCAAGGCCGCAATTCTAACTCAGTGCCAGGATCTTCAGAGGCAGCATTATACGTAAATTCTCCATCAACATCATCAAGAGATTCTCAGGATAGTGAATGTCTTAACCTCTTCCAAAACCATGACATTGTTTAATTATTATATTTAATCTCATACTACATTTAGTTCGTTTTTATTAGTAAGAATATTTTAAAAGACTGTGTTAGTAATATAAGAGATTATGAATAAAACACTACTTAGCTTAAAGTTATCACGAGTTTCTGTTCTGGTGAAACAACATCCTCGCGCGGAACATAATTTGCACGTGGCAATAAATCTTCTCCAATTAATAAGAGTAAATCATCAAACGATTTCACGGACATACGAAAGTAGTTAAACAATTTCTTCTCATGTTGTCTTAATTTTGGATACAAAGTTTCAAACATACTATGGGTCATTCTATCATGAAGAATTGGATGTACTAAATACATTCTATTTTCCCTCCGTTCCTGTCTCTTCCAGCGACGGTAAGCTAACCACAACGAGACCGCTTCGTTCAACTCCATGTTTCGTACTGAATTCCTCCCTGAATGCTTGCGCGTTGGTACGCTATGTGTGGACGCAACGGTAGCGCAAAACACGCGCGAGAGAATCGCGGCGAATTCGCCCTTCCTGGACAAGGCCTAAAAACTACCTCTGTCTGCAGGATGACATTTTACAGGTTTTTTTTACGTTTTATAGGTTTTTTACATAATACCCGTGCGGGTTTCTCCCTATTTACGAAGTCGCTGTTTGGGAACTATGAGGTAGGTATATGAAGCTCATTTTGTCAAAAAGTTTGCTGCAAAAGTGATTGACTTACAAGCTGTCAAAGCTCAGTGTTCTTCCATACAAAATATCCCGTAGCTCCTTAGCAGTACAAACCCTATAGTATGCTATATCAAAGTTCTTCATTCCAAAATATTCTTTCGAAATATATTAAAATATATAGAATACTTCATTAGAAAAGTATATATGTTTAAGATAGGCATGTTTTCGTAGTAATGAGTGTAGCTACCCAAGATATCGGCACGGGTATTACGTATCTTGTAAAGTGACATTTCTTCGTTTTTTTTACGTTTTTTAGGTTTTTTGCATAATGTCCTTGCGGAACTATAGACCTACTACACATTAAAGACTCGCACTGTATGTAGAAACATTCTAGATTACGTTGGTTACTTTGCTTTTGACTTGCTCTTGTTTTTTCCGCGACAAAGACACAGAAATTCTTGTGATTGAGTAAATGTCGTATTTTTCTGGTATTTTTAGCACTGTTTACATTGTAAATGAAATTGATGATATAGCAGGATCATTGAATACATAGCAAAAGTAAATATTTTTCCGTTTGTTATAAATACTTCCTCAATAACAAATTTATTTTGAAGCATTTTCATAAATAGATGGTCATCATGGTTCTTATTATCCATTCACACAAACTACACTAGATCATATAAAAATAATAATTTTACGATTGCAAAGAATATCTGTGACCGAGGACATGGTTCGCGGCACACCAGCTGCTGCTGAACACTAAAAGCTCTTTCGACTTACCAGGGGAATTTACAAGCTATATTCTCCACCGAAATGACGGGCGTTTTTGACACTGACAGGAGAATTTCATAGCTGATTGTTATCTAGCTGTGCTACAGCCCAGTTTTTCAGTGCAAAACCGTTTCCCAGAAATAGAGGCTCCGATAGGGCCCTGATGAACTTAACAAAATGGAATGGCACTTCCACCTTTGCACCATCCCAGTTCGATTTTAGCAAATCTGTTTATGGTCTAGCTGTTGGTTCGAGACTAGTTGCACGATATTAGTGTTCTGTGACTGTGAAGCCTTGTTCTGCAGTGTGCAACCAGTCTCTAAGAAACCGAGAATCCATCCATCACCGATAGCACTGAGGACGACTAGTGGAGATTAAGTGACCATTGTCACATAGATTCAACCCTCCCATCAGCTTAGCGATATGGAATTGCTCTACTTGTTCAAGCACTGAGATATTAAGTACTTTCCACCGTTGCACAATGTCGGTCGCGAGTTCATTCTGCGTGACAAGTTTTGATGATAGAAGTGTCCTGCGCAACTAATTTCTAAAAAACCGAGAATTCATCCTTCCCTAATATCGCCCAGGAGGACAAGTGGAGAATAGATATTCATTGTAAGCTACATACACCCATTACCTTTCTATCAACTTAATTTTGTCTACTTCTGTCGTTCAAATATTGCTTTCCCCGTTGTACGATATCGGTTCGATTTGAGCCGCAGGGGTATTATAGACAGATTGAAAAGTGACAATATGTTGGATCTTTTAACATTACATAGGTTTTTGTGATATTATGTAGGTTTTCCTATAGGACGTCAACTTGGAAATAGCTGTTGTTTACTTGATGTCTAGCTGTACATGGTTTGACTCTTATGTAATCTAGCATCTGCTTCAGAGATGGCATTATAGGGGGTCTAACCTGTAAGTTGTCTACTATAGCTGGAAGGAAACGGGCGAAACGACACGAAGGCCTAAGGCATAAACACCCATGGCGTACCGTGGGGCTATAGGGGGATACCGGGGAAAGGGGGAACGCCACACGGACTCTGGCGAGGGAACACGTGTGCATGCAACATGCACACATTCTGGCCCCGCCTACGAGATCCTCCGGGTGATACCTCTGCGTTCTACAGTCAGAGACCGTCTACACCTATGGATAATCACAAAATCCATACCCAAGAGAAAAATTTCTCTTGGGACGGGATTCAAACCCACACAGCGGCACGGCGACTGATCAGGAGACCGAAGAGTCTACTACGGCAGCCACCGCTGCTGCCATAGGTGCTTAGTGAGGATTTGTGTGCTAATAATCTGTGTTGGTGAAAATTCCCTTGGTTTCTTGTCTCAAGTATATTTACTTGAGATGAACGCTTCATCCTGAAAATTACATAAGCAAATTCAAAAAATGAGAGAGAAAAAAAATTCCTGGTTGTTGAAATATATCACAACTCACAGGTGAGAGAAAGAGGCTATAGACAGGAATAATTATGGAACGTGAAAACTCTATTATATTACATTTTACATTACTTTTCATTTCCAGTCATTTGAATTTTATAGAAGTGTAATCTGCGATGTCAAGTAGACAAAACAAAACAGCGCCTAGATGTGAGGCACAGCGAAAATGTTTTGTGTGTGATTGTTCATTCCTAATTTTTCTGTGATGTGACTTAATTACATGCAACGCAGGAGCGGTGATGATTTCCCGTAATGCTTCTCAAAGTTTTAGAAAACGTAAAAAACTGAGAAAATCGTAATTTATTCCTTTGAATATGACCTCTCTTCAGAAAGATCAACACAAATAACCCGTCTGGTACAGCTAGGCTGGGCAGCATATTCAGTAATAATTTTCACACATAGCAAATATCAATGATTTTATTCACATGCAGACCAATCACCACACAATGATCCAGATGCGATCGTTTACTGCTCTGCTACTCAACCCAATCTTCTTTTCGTCACATCTTCTCAGGCATATGCTCTACGGACAACAAAACACGATCGTTGAGCATGTCGTTGAGTCATTCCTCCATAGGTTACGCTATGAGTGACGCAATAGCAATAGCGGAACGAACTATTTGCAGCTATGTAGTCAGCAAGATGGCATTTTGTCGGTTTTTTGATATTATACGGTTTTTTACGTAATAACCCTGCGGATCTACCTGTTTGTGTACTTAGACGGAATTCACACATCTCCACTAGTTTCACGGGACTAGTGTTCTGACACGCCTAGTTTTACACTCGATCCAACGATTTCGAAATATCAAGGATTAGGATAATTTTAGCACTATGACATACATCTAGCTCACTCTCGCGGTGCGAGACTAGCTTTACGGTAGATAGTAGTGTTCTGAGACTAAAGCCTAGTTTTACATTGCAAATCCAATTTATAAAAACGGAGTACCGGTGTATCAGTGATAGCACCTTAGGGATTCTAGCACATATCCCACATTCCTGAGTGAACAGTATTTCGCAAAGAGAAGTGGGTTGACCTTGCCTCACCGCCAGTACAGAACACAGGCAATGCAGTTTTAGCCATGGCACCGTGGACGACTGAGCATCGTGTGTTTACCGTCGAGCAATTTTTCCGAAACAATGATTCTGAAGTTACCGTACAACGTTTATTCCGTCGCC